TGTCAGGATTAACAGCTGGAAAAAACATAACAGTGTCCTTTGATGGTCACTAGCTATACACTAGAACCAAATGTTTTTTTTCTTCCTTTTCTTTGCCAGCTGGCCACTGTTAAATTTAAGCTCTACTGAGGATGTTTCCATGTTTAAATAATGAGAAGACTACATTATATCATAGAATCAGAATCTTGAAAATAACCCAGTATTTATGTTTTCCCCACAAGTGTGTTTTTCAAACACTCAGATGTTTCAGGTTGTTTTGATTACAATTTCCAAACTTAGTAATTATGTGCTTCAAATGTTTTGGACTAAAGTGTAAATATTTTTCTTTAAGCAGCAACTTGTGTTAATTGTGCTCAACTAAAAACTAAAACTATACAAGCAGAGTCATGTTTGTTGTAAATCTATAATAGAAACTTAAACAATGAGAAAGCAAAAATCAAACTGGTTGTTTTAGTCTAAGGTCGTAATACATACATTTTACAAATCATAAATTCAGTAAATAATTTTCTATATTCAGATATGCTTTCTGTAGTTTCTTATAATCTCAAAACCTATTCTATATTGTGCTATTCTGGCAACTTTTACAAAGTGAGTAAACACATAAAAAGCACAAAATACAACCTAACTCAACTAGGTTTTTCAAAACCTACCCGATCCTTGAAGGCTCCCCCCTCCTTGGGGTAGTGGTTCCCCATTACCCTGAGGAGTGATGGGACGAGCACCTCCACGTTGTAGTATTTGCTGTTGAACAGGAGGACCTTGAGGCTGGCCTTGATTACTCTGGATCAGTCCTGGGGTGGGGATCATGCCCCATGAAGGCATTCCATAATACTGAGGCATCATGGCAGGGCCTAAAGTATGAGATAAATATAAAAATACACATCTCATAATTTCCAATATAAATCTTTCTTTTTTACTTCTATAGTGTAACACAGTGATAAGTTTCTGTTTAAGCTGCAAACTGATTTAAGTTTCAGTTTGTCAACAACACAGAGACAGATAAAAGGAAACATTTTAGAAAACAAAAAATAAACATGAAGTCCAATCTAAGATTTGACTAAGGGTGAAACTACCCAAAGCTGGATAACTAGGCGACAAGTGGTAAGTCAAATGATAAATTTTGGACATCTTGTCAATTGAATAATTCACAAAATACTTCAGCAGCACCGATGATATATATTATTGAAATTCCTATATCAATATAGGATCACTGTGTGAGTATAAGACATCTCAAAACACCATATATATACATATTAGAAATCAGTCATGTAAATAAAAAGTTAAAGAAGCCAAAAAATAAAGCCATTTAGTTCCTCTCTAAAAGCATCAAAAAATAATGCCATTAGAACAGAAAACTAATCATTAAATTTTAATAGTAAAAATTAAAATATATCATTAATTTCTTCACACTTAAGGCAGACTAAGCTACAAAACAAAACCTACCAACCCATTATCTTTGCTATAACATGATATGCATGGTTAATATTAAACCTGAATTTTCTAACTCTATTTTAACACTTAAATCTGCAAAAATTCTTCATTTAAATCTGGCAAACAAATCAATGCTTTAATCAAGTTATTGAAAAAAAGTCAAGCATAAGCTAAGTTCAAGCTCCAAGATTGACTTCTTCCATATTTACTTACTATATTCTCCAAACTTTTTAAAAACCTTTTTTGCTTAAGGACTTTCTGAAAGACAATTTACTAGTATCCATATTCTTTTAAAGTTATGAAGTAATTTCAGTTACAATAATTAAAAGCAGTCATTAGTTTATGAATGCAACATTTTGATTGTTTAATACGGCTGTATCCTTAAACCACTACCAACCTCTCAAAAAGTGAAAATCAAGTTCATATGGAGTTTTACCTTTGACCTCATCAGAAAATTAACTTCTTTGTTCCATATAGTTTTTCTTTGCTAACTTTAATCTGGTAACATCAAATTAAAATAAAATTATCTTACACGGTTTTCAGATTAATGGATACAAAGATGTCACAAAATGGCTTTTTTATTATGATATTAGTATTCCACAAAGACACAGTTGGAACAAATTTCATAAATTACTTTTAAACTGAAACATGATAAAGCTAAAAAATAATATTGCAAAGTTCCATGATAACAAAAGATCACCCTCCACGATAACGAAAGATCACCCTCCACTATAACGAAAGATCACCCTCCACGATAACGAAAGATCACCCTCCACGATAACGAAAGATCACCCTCCACGATAACGAAAGATCACCCTCCACGATAACAAAAGATCACCCTCCACGATAACAAAAGATCACCCTCCACGATAAAGTTGTGACCACTTCTCAGATCGTGATTTGAAATAAAGTGATAGAAAAAAAAAAAATAGTAAGAAAAATGGTATAATAAATCTATTAAGACTAAAATAAGAGGAATTCAAGTTTAAACTTGGAGGTAGATCGGCAGTGTCTTAATGACTAAACACCAGATTAAACTGTTGTGGTTAGGCTAGAAGAAATGGTCCTGAAAAAAACCCAAGATACCGAAGCGGTCCACAAATGTCTTGTCAATATGAAAGCCAAATGGAAGGTTCACAGTTTGAGTCTGTGAGAGGAAGTACCATTAATCATCCCTAGTAATCACTGCCGTTTCTCCCCTGCCGTACGTAGACGAGTGTAGAGGAAGATATGAAGCCTATCACCGATCTTTATACCTACTAATGCAAGGCTCAAATTTGCTGGACATAAACTGGCAACTTTCAGTCATTTTTTTTTGCCATCTGCAGCTTAGAACCTCTAATTACCAGTAATCTTAGCTGGTTAAGAAATATATGAATATTTCTAAAGAAAACACAAGCTGTTTATTGAAATGTAACACCAAATACAGATTATTGTAATGGCCTTGTTAAATATCAACTCTGCAGAGGTAAACAACTTCCTTGCAATTCCGATTGGATAGCAGGAAGAACCACATGCAGTTCTTTGCTTTCCCAAACCAATCAAATTTCTGATCTTTACCAATCAATAATTTATGATATGTTGAGTGTTCCGAGTAAATTCATTACTATTTTGTTGTTTTCCATACACTTTATGCCCTAATATTTACAAAGATTAAAAAACAATAATGAATTCTGAGTTGTTATCGAGTAGTGTTACATAGCTGTCAACAATGACATGTGCCTAGACAAACACTTCATCGGTGAAACAATAACACAACATGATTATCTGATGGTGTAGCTGATGTTGTAAGTAATGTCTATACTATAAAAATAAGATATTAATGGTGTTCCTGCTGGAGGTTACCATTTGTTGTTTTGAACACATAAATAGAAAAATAATATTCAATAAATAAGGATTTGAGTCATCAGAATATTTCGATATTGCCTACTGTACTCACTAAACCTAACTAAGTTTATCTGATGTCTTCTCATTGAAAAACTTCCTATAACTTTCAAAGAGAGAAATGTTAAGATGCAAACACTCAAATTTCATGATCAACTACAAGGTTTAAAGAAACTATAAAAAATTTCCACACACCTGTGATTTGTTCCTAACTCTTCATATCTTGCCTAGATAACTAATTGGTGAGATAAAGGACAACAAAAGCACAAGCGAGTGCAAAGCAGATGCAGTGAATATTGTTAATATTTAATGATGATGAATATTAAAATATATTCAGGAATAAAAGTTTTATTATTATCCATGTTGATACAGTAAGTCAGTTATATGGGAGTAAAAGTTTTATTAATATCCATGTTGATACAGTAAGTCAGTTATATGGGAGTAAAAGTTTTATTAATATCCATGTTGATACAGTAAGTCAGTTATATGGGAGTAAAAGTTTTATTAATATCCATGTTGATACAGTAAGTCAGTTATATGGGAGTAAAAGTTTTCAAGAAAATGTTATTTTTTTTTTTACTTAAATGTTTAAAAAAAACTAACACAAAATGAAGCATAAGTGAGTTTCAAGGTTATTTGGACACATTTAAAAAAATAGCCAGTCAACTCTCTAAGTTTCTGGTTAACTTGCTGGTAAAACTCAAAAATGGAAATCAAGCCTTTTAATGAATATAACTGGAAAAGAAGGTCAAAAGTCATACTTGTGCCTTTAAGTGATAACAGAAGTGATCAAATAAGCATGCGAGAAAGATTACACTTATAAAGAAAAAACCCAATGCTCCCAGCTGTTCAAGAGCTACCTTGACTTCTGGACACTTCTACTACCAAAAACTTATTAATAAATTCCATTTCATCATCATGTGCCGCCTTCCTCAGGAAGGTTGGCTGTAACAATCCCCCACTTTGGTCTGTTCTGTGCTTTTCTCACCGGGTCTTCATATTTTGTTATCTCAGTCCACTCTGTTCTTGGTTTTCCCCGGTATATTTTCCGTTCTATTTGACCCTGGATGTTGTCTAGTCTCATCTTCTTGATGGTTAGTACAACCTATCGTTTCACATTCACCATACTGGGAACTTCTTCATTTATTACCTTATCTATCCAGGATATTTTCATCATCTTTCTGCACACCCACATCTAAAATATTTCCAGTTTATTAAACAATGGTTGTGTCAAGATCCGTGTTTCACAGCCATATAACAGTTAACCATATACAGACAGCCATATAACAGAGTTAACAATATATAGACAGCCATATAACAGAGTTAACCATATATAGACAGCCATATAACAGAGTTAACCATATATAGACAGCCATATAACAGAGTTAACCATATATAACACTTTATGATTTTCTTCCTTGTTTTTACTCTTATGATCTTTGATGTCAGACTTGTTTTCATACTATTAAAGGCACACCTTGCCACCTCAATCCTCTTCAGTATTTCAGCTTCACATTTTCCATCACTGACTGGCATGCTAAACTAAGTGAGGGTATTGACCGTTCTAGACTAAACTGCCGTAAAGGGGACATCATCACTTAAGTGCACGAAACCTGAAACAGCAGCAGAAGCGGAGAAACCTGGACATTGGATGGTCAACAGTTTAGATGGCACGACAGCGGGATGGGTAACACATTCAGGGCACACTCCTGACAGAAAAGGACCAGTGGTCAGTTACATTGGAAGAGATTGGGTCCTCACCAAGTATGGTCCCATATGTAGCCATGATCCTTTGAATTCAATTTACCAACAAAGAAATAATTCAACAGACTCCCAACTTTGCATTTATTTGGGCTAATGACATCTGATGTCATACTAACTTCTTATTGCTTAAAATCTGGAAGCAGACCAAGTGTGTCTGGGTGGGAAAAAAAGTAATAAAATAACATAGTTATTTTTATCTTCCAGATCTTCTTAATCTCATGGACACGTAGGACTAAAGATTTGTTAATTGGCCAAATCTGTTAACAAAATAATACAATGAAATTGACATTACTGTGGTATTTCTGGTTTACAGGAATGTCACATGGATAAACAAACTCCATTTACTGAGAGGTTCCAAGATTTGGATGGATGGGATGTTAGCAAGAGAATAAGTTCAGAAAAGAACAAGCGAAGAAAGTGACAAACACAGCTAAGTACTGTACTGATTATCTTGTGTTCCACAATTACCTCAGATGCTTTTCAGATTGAAAAGGCAAAATGAAAGTAAAAGAAAGCAATTAAACTGAATGGTGAAACTGAACTTGCAAGAAAAAACCTAAGATAAATACAGCAATATATGGTCAGCTCATACTAAATGAAAACATAGGGCTTAGCCTTTTCTGCAGGTCTTGGGTCCTTTCAAAGCAGTAGCTAATTTCTCTCAAAGAACCAACACTACTCTGATGATCCACCTTCTCTTCTCTGTAGCTGACCATTTACAAGAGTCCAGAAGTATCGCTGCTCCTTGTTTGCAGCCTCACACATACACACACAAAAGGTAAATCAGGATGCAATACAACACTGCATGAAACATTAGATAGTTCTATAATTGGACCATATTACAAAAGAAAGTCCCAAAAGGTAAAGCAGGATGCAATAAACATTCCAAATCTGAATATAGCACGATCTCAACTGTATTTAGCACATTAAGAATTAAAATGAGAAAAATTAATTATCTTTTCAATAAAACATACATACCATTGGAGAGTGAAATGTGTTACCTGAATATAACAAGCTCAACCTTTATAAAAACATACATACCATTGGAGAGTGAAATGTGTTACCTGAATATAACAAGCTCAACCTTTATAAAAACATACATACCATTGGAGAGTGAAATGTGTTACCTGAATATAACAAGCTCAACCTTTATAAAAACATACATACCATTGGAGAGTGAAATGTGTTACCTGAATATAACAAGCTCAACCTTTATAAAAACATACATACCATTGGAGAGTGAAATGTGTTACCTGAATATAACAAGCTCAACCTTTATAAAAACATACAAGACCAGTCTGGTTGAAATTTACATAAAAATGATCTAAAATAAACTCCTCCCACACAAATTAACAACCTCCCTATCGTTCAGTTGACATCACGGAACTTTATATTGATTACACAATGTGGTCATATAACAGATAGAAAACTGAATGTATAATTAAAATTGTGAAATACAATTAATTTAAGAATTGAATGTTTACAAAATTAAGATCAATCACATGTTAGTTTCTTGGAAAAATGTAAGAGAAGCTGTATGCACTAAAACAACAAGCTCATAGATAAGTTTAGAAAAACATATTTTAGGATATATACATGTTCATTAGAATAAAATCAACCCAGCAACATTAAAAAAAAGTGTTTAAATTCAAAGAGGTAATTCAATGCATCCATTAAAAGGTTTGGTAAAATTTGTTGGCAATTTGAGAAAAGTTAATTCAGAATTTAGGAGAATACAAATTTGGTGGAAAGATTTATTAATCATATTAGATTTATCCTCATACTTGATTATCCACTTTAGACAGCAACCTGTAAGTATGCATTACTGCTATGTAGAACACATCCCACTTTATATATAACATCATTTCTTCTGTTGTCAAAGAATTTATTCTAGACATACCCGGCATTACTGTTCCCATGGCAAATGGATCTTGATTCATTAAATAGGGGTTTGAAGCAAATGCTGCAGCAGCACCTGGAGGGGGAACATTCCCCATGCTTTGGCTCTGTGGTTGCTGCTGTTGAGAAGGGACAGGAAATTGTTGTTGGGTCATCATTGGTAAAGACTGCCCCTGCGATGTTGCCTGATTTCTCTGTTGGTATGCCTGGGAAAGAAGATCATTTCTCTGCAACAAACAAAATTATTACATTAGTCAATCAGTGTCAGTGTAGTAAATAAAACTCTCAAGGCCACACACACATATTTGAAATTTTAATAATTATTGAGAATCCAAACAGTTCTTTATCACTCTGAAATGCCATGATTTCCAAGTTCTTACTAACCTAACTCCTGGCAAAAGTGATTTCTTAACTTCAATGAGTATGTGAAATAAATTTGATTGATTAATTAAACTACTTTCTTTTCTTGGTATAACAATAAGTATAGTATAAAAACGTTGCTAATAATCCATATTATAATAATATACAAGTTTTAAGTTCGTATTTTTATAAGGTAATATTAAAAAAATTTTGGAATTTTCCCTAGAGTGAGAATTGTGACATTTGTTCTCTAAGTATCCCCCTCTTCTCTAATTTATTTACCACCCCTCCAAGAAGTATGAAACTGAATGTACATTACTCATTATAATATCGTCATCACTCAAGCAAAGCATAATTTTCACAGCCTTCAATCTTATTTCATTACAGAGCCATGAAATAGATAATCAGACCTCTCTTGCCACACCCACCAGCCACAACCTCTCATTCAGAAATTATCAATAGTTCTCTCTGACAATAAATACTATATTATTTATAACCAACAGAAAGCTAAGGTTTTCATCCCTCAAATGATATATTACAATGTTTTCTGTAAAGAGAGCTATCAATTTCACTTTCAGTTGAAGCTTGATTCCCACAGGAAGCACATCATTGAGTTTAGATGAAGTTTTAATAGTTCTTGTTGCATATTTAGAAAGCGAGAAAAATTGTGATAGTTATGGGACATTGTCTGCTTTTTGAACATTATTATTCTGTGTTCTTTGGTGCATTACTACCATTAGTATATAGAAAGTAGGGTTAAGTATCATCAACAGCAAAAAAAAGAATACTTCTTAATTACTTTATTTCTTGTTTTTCATGTATTTTTTTTATTTTAAAAGTAACTAAATTTAAAAATAAGAAACTTTTGTTAGTTAAGGTCAAATTAGGTGAAATAAATAATAATAATATAATAAAATTATTTCATGAGGTATGCTCATGAGTAATGTAATTCGACAGTGTAAAATGAGCTACATGTTTGCCAAGTGATAATGGTGAGAATATTAGTTAAAACAGGGTTCAAAGGGCAATAAAACAAATAAAATTTAAATATAAATAGATGTATATTATTTATGAGTTTAAAGCTGTTTAGGATAAACAAATGTAATTTCATATTAGAAGTTGAAGTCATTCTTGAAAGATAAAAAAGAGTAAGTTATATTTATTTTGACGTTACGAGGTCAGTTAAATTGTACAATAATAGGGTAGAGAAAAATAAAAGATAAAATATAAAGTTTAACCAAAAAAAAAAAATGTTTGAAATTTATTTAGATGTTAGAGATTATGCAAATAAAATTTTTGAGATGAAGAGAAATATTTTCAATCTTAATGTGGAAATCATTTTGCACTCTGACTACAATATAGAAATACTATATATTTTTTTTATTTATGGACAAATCTTTATTAAAAAACCTGATTTTTTGTGTACAAAAGACTTGTACTGTTTACTAAAAGTCTGCCAAATTTTGTGAAGATACACAAAGTGTATTAAAAGTTATAGTATGGAAACTATAGCGAGTACAAAATGGTTATAAAGTCAGTCAATTTGACAGACTTCATAGCAAGAGCTAAGTAGGTAAAAATGTACTTTACTCATTTTAAGTTTTTAACTAAATCAATTAGATCATAAAAACAAAGGCAAACATAAGCTGTAAATGTACCTGCATGTCATATTCCATAATATTAGAGGATTCCATGGATTGCATTAAGTTTGATGGATAATCAAATGGCAGCGATCCAATTCCTACATGCTCAAAACCACCTCCAAGTTCTCCCAAGGAGTTTGTCCCTTGATGAATGCTAACCGTAGCATGATGGGGGACAAGCTGGTCCACAGTCTGCTTCTGGAGTTTTGTAATGTCATTAATAGAGTGATGGTGCTCCTCACTAGGAGAGGCTTGACGAGTTCCTGGTGTACGACTACATAAAAAAGTTTAAAGGGATCATTACACATGGACATTAATTTTTTTTACTATTCAAAATTTCTGATGCAAATCCATTGAGCTCTGGAAATACAAAATCTTTCAATGGTAATAAATAGTTTCAGAGGAGGATACTGTCAAAATGTTTGTATTACAAATCAAATAGCTAACCTGATATACTGTGACCAAGAATCTTAGCTAATTTCTTTGTTGTTCTTTCTACCATATTGATACATGCAAAAAATTCTGGGTGTCATACCTCACAAAATGTATGCAACTAAAGTAATTCATCCAACAACACAACATGGCAAATCATGTAAAAATAAAACCTCTGCTTGGCATCATGTAAAAATATGGAAGTTCATTATACAAATACATCAAAATATGTATCATGGTTTCAAAACAACATTTGGGTATACCAATTTTACCACTCATCTTTACTGGGTTTAACACTACAAATCAAGTTATTACTAACCCTAATGCAGTGAGTATGTATGTATGTAAACTGGTAATAATAAAAACAAACTATGCTTGGAAATTATGTTTATCCAAAAAAATTAACATTAAATTATTTATTTTGATACCTCTTACTAGGCATAATATTTCAATTTTACAGTTTTAAAAGTAACAAACAAAATACAAGTTTAATGAACCATCACACATAAATTGTTATTTTTTTTGAAACTGATCTTTCAAAACTTGTACACAATTTATTTTATATGCAAACAACTCATTTTGATATGAACATTTTTAAAATTGTAGTTTTATTTATACCTTCAATTATACAAAACAACTGCAGATCAATACTTACTTAAAAGTTTTATCATCATCTAATCCATTCTGAATAATACCATTTGCATGTAACACCCCACAAGGCTCAACATCCTTGTTCTTGGAGTCACCCTCAAAATGCTTACTGTTTTTCGCTTTGTCAACTCCATCAGAAGAATTCTGAAGTAATAATAATGATGTTTCTAACTCAATCATTAATGGCAAGTTTTAAAGAATGCTTAGAAAATCATGAATAATAAATGATACATGGACTCAAACCCTTGCACTCATTTTCAGTAACAGTAAAAAAAAATAAAATAATAGTAAATAAAAGTGTAAAACCAGTTTATCACAATAGCACTAACTACCAATGTAAAACTTCAACACATTAGTTAAAATTTATACAAAAATGGCACAATTCTTGTGCGGGTTTACTGAAACATAGTTTGCTTTCTTTTTATCTATCAAATTTTTAACAAGTTCTAATTTCTGTAGTATGATCTTTACACTTCCTGGAAGCAAAGGATTACATCAAAAGCAAAATATAACCAATCACACCATACAAAGTACTCACCATAGCCATGTGAAGGTGAGCCATTCGAGCATCAAGATCTTTAGTGTTTGGGGATATGCCTAAAACATACTCAACCATTTTCATCTCCAAGCCTCCCGTGTCTGAGGATCGAGGAGATAGAGCAGAATTGGCATCACTGCCAGGGTATGAGCCACTTCGTCTCTGCACTATCATGGGCTGTGACACTGCATGATCTAGACAATACAGGTAACACTCAGTTTTAAAATTACTTCTACTAATAATAAAATCAAGTATCAGATATTGGCATTAACAAATCACACAAGTTTGATAAGCTTACACACTAGTTTTCACAAGAACTGTGAATAACTTCTGCAATGACTCGTGTCATTTAATTAAATAAAGGATAAGTCAAGAAATGCTCGATGCGTAAGAATGAAACAACAGAGACCAAGAATGCACATGAATAGATAATTCTTTTAAGATGCCAGTATCACATAAAATACATCATTTCAAGTAAATATTTTCTTTTTTATGTCACAAATAGTTATTAAATACAGTATATTGTACATAGCTTTTCATACAAATGTTATATCAAAATTTAAAAATATACATACAAAACTTGCCAATTTCTTTTATGTTAAAATATAAATATGCATGTTTATCTAGCTTTTAATTATAGATATGATACCTAGCACCTACTTTATAGTACTTTGAAATAAAAAATATAATAAATCTGAGGAAATGAAACCCAATATAGCTTTAAATATTGTGTAGAAGCAGCTGAGACATTTATACAAACATCAACTGTAAAGTTTCTTGTTTGACTGACTGCAGAACTGATTAGGTTTTGGTAAATGGTAAATTTATTTTTGACAATTTTAACTGTGTTAGTTTTTTCCAATGTTTTGTTACTCTATGAACATAGACGACGACAAAAAAACAAACAACAACAACCTGCATTATCCTAACAAATATTTTTTATAACTCTTAAAAATCACTATATAAACAGACTGAATGTACTATCGATACAAAAAGTGTTTTGCAAGTTTCGTCAAAAATGTTGTCATTGTTAAATCCATCCAGAGTTAATGCCCTGGTTGGAGTTGAAATTATTTGTATTGATATAAAATTTAACAAAATCCCAAAATTTATAACTTTATATAAAGGTTATTCAAAGTGTTTTTTTAACTGATTGTAGATATATTTTTCACATTAGTATTTTCAAATTCACAAACTGAATTAATAAAATGTCTTAGTAATGCTGTATTGAAGATGCTTCAATATTTCACTTTCTTGTCTATCTTCTATCAACTGGGGATAACTATCCGTAAACTTTCAAATTAGCCGAGATTTTCAAGAGGATGGCAATTACTAAATATTTGATACACCTACCAAGGTATTCATACTAGATTTGCACACTTTATAATATTTATAGTTATCTATTTGATTAACACACTGTGAACTCCAACAAATATTGTACAACAACTACACTGTGTCTAACATTCTCTTTCATGGAAACACCATGTTGTTAAAATCATAAATAATATTCAATGTTAAAACTGGTACACAGTTAAAAACATTTTATTTAGGCCTATACATGGCCTTCAAAAAGTTGACGACTCTACATGTTTCGACGTTTCAACATCATCCTTAGAAGTGAATTACAAGACATCCTAAAGCATTTATAACTTTTTAGGTCATAGATAGGCAGAAATATAATGTTTTTAATTTAACATTGAATATTATTTATGATTTTAACTTTATACACAAGTGCCAAAACACAATAACCACCATGTTGTTGTCCAAAAAATATTTTATCCAGTCTCTTAGTTATTTTATAAAAGTCACACATTATGCTTAACAAGAATATGCAACCATGATCTGCAGGTGTGTCATGCTGACAATAAGACAACAGCCACCAACAAACCGGATGAACTAATATTTTACCTAATGGAAAAAGAGCTGGTCTACTTGACGCACTGTTCTGGCCAGTGCTCCAGGCAGCAGTTCGCCACTGTTCTGGAACAAAGAATCCTTTTCCATCATCGGCTCTGCTGTCTTCCAAGCTCCACACTGGTAACTTCTTAGATGATGAGATCTGATTATTAAAATATCGAATAAAAGATACACAGTAGATGTTAGAATACAAAACCACATATAAATAATAGCACAATATGCTGGGAAATAATTAAAAAACATCCAATTCCAAAGCTCCTTTTTTGTATTGCCTTATTCACTATATGATGCTAAAGATGTTTAATCAAATTTGTGAAAATTATTACAAAGCGTATATACTTCATAAGAAAAATATAATATATGATGAAAATTGTAAGTACAAAGAAAAATATAGATGTAATACTTAAAAATATTACCTCTAGAGGTGGATGTGACGTCTCTAGTGCTAAGGCTTGGAACTCGTTTTCTATTCCTGTTCCATCGTTGGCACGAACCTGAAAAGTAACAGGAGTTATAGCTTTAGACAAATACAAATCTCAAACCTTCCAAGGTTGTTTTTTTTTTAAAAACAATAAATATTAAATACAAGCTACTTTCTACTCTAATCAACATAAATTGTAGCAGCTCTACATTTTTATTTGAAAAAAAATCTAAAATTTTAGAATGGGCTTTAGGGATAGAAATAATGAAACAAAATTACATTCACTTGAGGGGGAAGCTATCGGGAAGATTATATTACCCCATGTAAAGTTGTATTTCCCCAAGAGATGTTTTTTTTTTTTATATTTAATCCATGCAATATGTCCACTTTCATTGGTCATAACTAAAGGAATACAGGTAGACCATTCATTCCCAATTGGGAAAGTCAACTAAAAAAAGATGAAATTCTTAAAGCAAAACTAAATTCCTCAGGAATGTAATATTTGGATTACGGGACTTTCCGAAATACATCCTTAAAAACAGAAATGAAGTTACTCTTAATCAAAACCATGAAAATACCAAATCAGAAGGAACCCACCCTTGGCTCTTGTGAAACTACACAAATATTCTTATTATCATTTCAATTTTAACGTTTAATGAAATAATAAAAATTTGATAAACAACTTAATTATTTTTAATATTATAGATTGTAGTTTGGTATTTTATTGAAAGTTGTCCCTGGTGAGCTTATACCAGTGATTTCCAAATTTAATATTGCAGCAAGTTGCTAAGGGCGTCACAAGAGTTTTTATCCAACTTCTCTCAATTCTATGCTGGCTGTCACATATTTATATAGTCTGTGCTATAGTTCTGTGGACATTTAGCTAGAGATTGCTACATATTTTGAAGCTTTACATGTGACAATTCTACTCTGTCGGGTATTCTTGGGTTAAGGGCTGAAAACAAGTGAAAGCAGCGAGGGTACTATACCGATGACCTGGGATAGTGGGCATACAAACTTTTTGAAGTTTGCCTGTTACTTATTAGGACAATTTGTCATTAACTGCAATTATTATTGTAGAATTTTAGCAGCTATTCTGGTAGAAGTTATTGCATAATTGATAATTTTCAAGGTTCATGAAAGTAATTAATTAAGCTGAACAACCTTGAATTAATCAAAAATGATAAAAATCATAATGGCAGTTGTTCAAATACTTGGATAGATAGAAGAATTGAAATAATCAGAAACACTAATTCTGATAGAATATTTTTCCAACATTAATTGTAATTTCAATTAATTGATATTTTTTTTTACATGACCCAAATAAATCATGTTGATTAATTAAGTTAATCACCCAGCTCTACTTATAACACAGTAAGTATTTTTGGTTGTGTGGTTCACTCTAGTTTGTGAGGATTGTTTTGAATAATTTTTTAAACCAGTAATTTTGTGTGTGTTCAGACAGAAATCTATTCATGATTTCCTAATAATTATCATCATACCTTATAAGACTTCAATTTTCTTAATTTTGTAAATAATAGCATGGTCTGGATTAGTTTTCAGACAAAGATAAACAAATATTATTGGATGATGTCACCATCCACTGGGTAAATTGGGAATTTTGGCCAGATGCTAGCAGAGTACGCTCGGGTTTAATAAGTTAATACTAGAAGGGAATTTGTGATGAATCGAGGAAAGCTTTCTGATAAAGGGTTGAAGTCCTGATAGATCAGATGTTACAGAATTTGAGCAGGGTGATCGACCTTTGGAATGGATTGCCTCCACGTGTGGTGGATGCAGTAATTTTAAGGGAGTTTAATGGAAGGCTTGAAAGAAAACAGTTGGCTATGAGTTGTTTTTTTTCTTTTTAAAGTTAAGTGAACAGTACAGCCAAGATGGACCAAAAGGTCCCTTTTTGTCCTTAAATTTTATGCTGTGTTAGGTTAAAGCAATCATCAGCATAGATTGATTTCAACTATCTTGATAATTATAATGTACTTAGTTGGAAAATGTCAATGTTCATAGATTGTTGATCTAAAGGCTACAGAAAATAAGTTTCTCGAGATTCTCCAAATAACCTTTTTTGTGAATGTTACCAGGATGAAGGAAATGGTGTAGACTTGGTGTACTTAAGATTGACAAAAGGCTCTTTATGAAATTAGCCCAAGGCTTGACATTAATGGTTGTTTGATTGCCCAGAACAAGTGGAAATTATTCAGTATAACTGTTGTTATTGTGTGTTTTTTTTTATTAATTTATATCTTTTTGCTTCATCTGTACATGTTATTTATTTTAGCAGTTTCCATCAGGTTTGTTATTGATCTTTATTGCCAATTTTTGGCAACATTAGATGTCAATAGCTTGAGTAGAAATTCTACTTCCCAAACAATTTTATTTATCCCCATGCCAACTGAATTATTACACATTGCAAACATATAGACATCTATATCCATTACAATGACATCTTCCACAATATATTAAAAACTACACCACATATGACACAGACATTACATCTTTGGATAAGTTAATCAGTCTGTATACATGATAGACTTTAGGACATACAGGTGTAGTCCTTGTTTTTTTTTCTTGCTTTTTGCTTGCTCACCTTCTCAAGAGAAGGAGCCGTGGCAGGCACCATCGCATCAGTCATTTTTGGACTCAGTTGAAAGACAAAAAAACTAAAAAAATATGATATAGACTGATATTCCCGATGTGTTGAAAAATATTATTGAGAATATATAAAATATCGTGACAGGTTATCCAGTCTATATATATGAGGAAATCAAAACTACTATATGGTAGTGCAGCATTTGATGCTCATTGACCTTTTCAGCTGTACCTAGGAAAACGAAACGGCTATGAAATTCCAAGACATCTTGCCCAAATGTAGATGTTTTGTTTCAAATCGATAAATCTGTATTAAAAAAAACTACTCTAAGTCAGTAACTAAGTCATACATCTGTATTTGAATATCAGTCTTATGATGGATTAGCCTATCATCAATAAACAGATTACCAATCATAAAACAATCTCGGTGATAGTAGATAATCAACTCGAAAGAAGAAAAAATAACAAAAAGAAGCAATTTACTAAATTTTTAATAATTAAATGTAGAATTAATACACATTTCATGCAATCAGATCTGCTCTAACCTCAGCCTAGTATGCACGGAACAACAGTAGCCAGAACTCGAGCATTGTTAGTCCTGGATATCAGGCTAGTGGACTTTTACACTCCTGATAAGATATGTAAATCAGAAAATTTATGGAGGAATATCAGAAGAAATGGAGGACTGGCTTTAGTCATTCAGAGAAGCTTAAGGGATAACAAAATATATCAATTTTAGGAGCACATGAAACTGAACACCTACTTGCCCAAATGGGCAAAAAGGTTCAAGCCCTGGCTAATCAAAAGACAAACTAAAATAAAAAATTTGGTGTGGGTTGTGGTAATTTTAGTTAATTATATTGATGAGTAGCTGGGCAAGAGAAAAAAGTTATTTACGGAATCTAGTCAAATCAGTGCTAAGACCTTTGCTTTTATTTTTTTACATATATTAATGATACTAACTAACAAATAAAGGGTAAGTTTAAGTTTTTTTTCTCCTAGGAATTGGTGTGCAGGTATAGGCTCAAAAGACCATATGTTACCTTGCTGTCTGTATATTAAAACAATTTATTATAGGAAGTTAAACAAAATAAATATGGTTTCATATCACAATACAGCTATTGATAACCAACAGGGTCAAAAGAGCAAAATGTTTATTAGAACCCTATACTAGGTTTACTTGACATGTGTTTTACTTTAGCAAAATCTTATACAGGCAACGTTTTTGTCTTTCATGTTTTCATTTATGCATTAGCCTTTTTCTTAAACCACGAGCTTTTAGAATAGGCCTTATGCCTATTACTTAGGCCTAGTGTACGTAACTGAAATTATTAAAAAATTGCACCTTTGTTTAATTCAAAAATTTTAATATTATTCTCATTTTGGGAGCTTTAAACAAAGAAAAGACTTAAAGCCAAAGGTGCAAGCTCCCTAAAAGTACTGAACAAGTAAAAGTTTTATAAATAGTTAAATAAATATGTATACATATTTTCAAATCTCTGGAATTTACTTTAAATAAGTTATATCGTGTTCTGTGTTAAGTTCTTACTCGGTAAAAATAAACCAGAAACGTCAGCTATAATTGCCACTACTAATTTCTCAAAGGCACAATATTTTAAAGAGGGTCTTGTCAATTAAAAACGTGTTATTATAATCGCTTTCTTCTGTTTTACTTAGACACAGGTCTCCAGTTTTTTCCACCAATATCTTATCTTATAATTTTTCTAACCATCTATACTGTATTTTCTTTCCACTAATAAATATAACATGCTGTGATATTGTAAGAAATGTATCCCTGAATTTATAATGAGCATCAACAGACAGCTTTAATTATTCTTATTTTCACTTACTGTAAAAGACAGTCACCTCACAAATTGCCTGTTACACTGAAAAGTAAAAACAGAGATTTCTTAAAGCATGCTGTAACAACTGCAACTTACTTTTCTATAAAGTATAATTTATAAGGATCTTTTTACTGTCATTCAGTAAACAAAGTAAAGAAAATAATTAATTTAGAATACATTTTATTGCACTCTCACTTCTGGTATTAACCCTATCTGGACTGTAGGAGAGTTCTCCTGCATTGAGAGTGCAGACTTGCAAATCAAATTTCACAGTTTCAGCAAAAATTGTAATTTTAACTTAATTTAAAGTAAAATTATTGTTGAAGTAATCTAATAATTGATATATTGTAACTTTGCAAAGAAAAATAAAACATATTTAAACTTTGATCATTGTACAGTTCTAATGGGTATCACCCGTAAACAAAGCTGTTAATATTTGTTTTTATGATACCACAGTAACTAATAAATCTTAGCCTCCAAACAAGACAGAACCAAAGGTTATACATGATTGGATAAAAAAACAAAAAATCGTATTTTTTGTCTATGTCACTGTATAGTAAGTAACACATGGGTATGGTAAGCAGTAATGTAAGAAAAAGAGAAAGGATTCCAATGCAAAATTTACAAAACTTGGGAACAAGCTACAAACATGGGAATGTTTTCATAGTTTATTTTGACTATATTTTGATTTTGATAATGTTTTTTAAAAGTACAGGATTTCCTTCTCATTCCCAGTCTTTACTGGTGCTTAAAATGTAAGGATATTTAGGGATAAGAAGTACAGTAGGCTAGTTTTGCAAGGGCAAACTATTCAGATGAGAGAAAAGCTTTTTTGCTTGCGTGTATTAATAAATTCTTTATTGCTCAAACACATACACAGACTTCTTATTTATTGAAATCAAACTATAATAATAAAAATGATTAACCAATAATATAGTTCAAACATTCTGCCCACATCAGTGTAGGTGTAGGAACCAACAAATGTTTTCACTGTTCATTGGTTTTTAAGCTACATAAACAACTGACGAAAATAAAATATATCTAACTGGATATATAAAAAATGGAGCTTTCTGATCAATAGTATTTTAAAAAATCCAGTTTTATTTCTTTCTTTCGTATTTTTAATGGTTACTTTCTTTGTATGTATGAACAGACAAGAAAATGAGAATGCCAACACAAACAAACCAAGTAGTTTGAATAAACTTACATGACTGTTAGGCACAGAATAAATAAATTAAAAAACAACTAAAAACCACAGAAAATATGAAATTTTTTCAACCAAAAACTAAATATTATGTAGAAAGTGTGTACCAACTTTTATGTAATTACGTTTAGCATTTTAGTTGTAAGAACAAAAGATAAAAAATGGTGAAACAATTTCACCCTGCTAGTTCAGATAGGGATAAGAACAATTTATAGAGTCAATTTCTAATTACTCCATACCAATGAAATGGTTCCACTTATTTAAACAAAACTATAATTTTGAAGGCACACTGAGAGTATAATTTTTTGCTACATTTACCAAATTGTATTGATTTTTGGTGAAAAAATATTACATGTATACGACCTTTTTCCCTAATAAAATAATATTATACTTCTGTTTATAATTGTCTGGCATGAGCATACAACATGAAAACAACAGAATTCAAAGCAAGAGGTTGACCCTGGAAGAGATGGATCGACAGTGTAACTGAGATTGAATAAATACAGTCTTACACTGACCCAGGCCTCTCACCTTGCTTCGTAATAGTAAAACTTAACTGGAGATGTGAAATGAAAAAGTAATGTTTAAAACAGTGTCTTAATAAAATAATATTGTTGGTATCAAACTATAAGTAACTTAGTACAGAGATATAAATCATGAAAGAGAATGTTTGGACAGTGATTTAAAGTAAAAATTGAGACCTAGGTAGAATTCAAACTCATGATGAACAATTGGGAACTCTATCGAGCCTTACTTTAAAAACGAAGGTTCTTTAGTTTCCGAAATTGTTACACAGTGTAGTAGCAAACTGCCTTAATGATGAAAGGCATAGCTCACAGTTTAAATACTAAATTAAAGCATAATAAACCTTTCTCATCAACAGTCTAACGGTTAAAACATACATGCATCTATTTAACATAACTAGGCCTTAATTTTATATTTTTTCATATACCCAAACCTCACAGTAACAAACCACTTGAACTTTATTTAAGCAATTTGGTTGTTTCTGGGTGTGAGAATAAAAGACCCATCCTCTCAAACTATTGTATAATTCGTCCGTAATATTTATTAAACAATTATAATATAAAATATGCTATTTCAACATTTTTTAATATATTAAAATATCATACTCTGTAATAAATTATTTTTGTTGATCAGTAATTTATATGATATTACATAAGCAAAAAAGCTTCCCTGCAGGCAACATGTAATTAAAATGCAATAATTTTTTTTACTGGAAATTTATAAAGAGCCAGTAAAAAAAAGGTTAAGATAATTATTTACCAACAAATTATTTTATATAGTACTACTGTTATAAATTACACAATGTATTATAATCTTAATGATCTTGCATGTAACAAATACTATTTTATTATTTATTTTTCCTACAGATAACTTTCTCACACATAAATTTGAAGTAGTTCTTTAGCTCATGAGGAATTCATAGCCTAAAATGTACATTTAGGATAAAAAGCCTTAATGACAATAGTACTTAGAACAAGGTGAGACTAGTTTAATTAATTTTATGTTATAAAGTTAATGGTGGTAACAATGCTGACTAATTAGTAGTTAGCCTTTACGAATTTCGTTCTTACCTCTAATACACTGTCATCTCCAAGAGCCCACCTTGACTGTTTATTGAAATTTTGAAAAGTGGGATCTGTCTGTGGTCGTTGAAAAAAATATCCAACCATTGCATCGTCTTGAGAACGTGTTGCTCCTTGTCGTACAGTAGGCACGTTGTTCATTTCAGCCTGGCCGTTCGGGATCATAGTGTTGGGTGGGTCTTCCCAAGCCAAGTCATTCATACTACGGCACGATGAAAACCAAAAGTAACGTGTTAGATAAAGGAGGATACGCCTTTGTGGAAAAACAAATATGAAATTATTAATTCAATATAATTTTTTAACTTTAGTACACTGTGTATAACTACCACAAAGAAGGCGAGTATCTAAACTTAAGCGTAGCTAAGCTATTTGGCTTACACTTAATTCCTAGGCCTTACAGAACAGTTACTCCAACCTTACATTTGTTAGCTGGTGCCGAACTCGCTTTGCAGTTAGCTTTTCCGGTAATAACGCACACAATGGCGCCAGTAGTCGAGTCTCGTAAAAAATAGTATTTTGTTACATACAAATACGACAACATAAAACTGATACAAATAAATTGAAATCAACAATATTTCATTTACATCAAAGAACAAATAATACAACAAGATTAAAAATTACCGTGATGTGAAAGATATGAAATTCTTATCTCTATTCCGTCACAACATGGCGCGGATCGTCTCAAAAATACTATGGCATCATGGGTACCATGTGCTCTTTTACCACTCTTCCAATGACATTGTTTTCTCAAATGCCTACCGCCATTGAAGCGAAAACCCACGCCCATTGTTATAACAAAAAAAAAAAAACACGCTAGAAGCAAACACATCAAAATGGCTAAAAGTTATATATTAATTTTCACACACACATATATAGATGTATTTATTGTTTTATTTATGATTAACTGATTAATCATCCACTATAGCTAGCACAAATAAATTAAATTTTGTTTCATATATTACACAGATACGTAAAACTGAGTCTCAGTAAAATATATAAATAGAACAATGAATACACATATATAAAATTGAGTCTCACTACAATAATTAAAATAACGTAATAAAAATTAATACAGACATATGTAAAAATAAATTCCCACAATAATAAGTAAACAAGTTACTGAAAATTAATATACACATACGTCAAATTGAGTCTCATGAAAATAACATAATGAAAATTGATAAATACATATGTAAAAATAAATTCCCACCAGAATAAGAAATTATCGTAATGAAAATTAATTGTTTGTTGTTAAGCACAAAACGACACAATGGGCTATTTGGCCTACCCACCGCGGGAATCGAAACACGGTTTTTAGTGTTCATAATCTCTCAGGTTTACCGCTGAACCACCGGAGGCACTAGAATAAATGAACAATGTAACGAAAATGTATATATGCATATACATATATATGTATATAAAGTGATAGACTTAAAGTTCATATTCAGAATTTTCAGGAAGATGGAATATATAACGTTTTTATGTTTATCACTATGATATAATTAAACTTGTGTTCTCCTGAAGGAAAATAGTCAATTATTCGAAAGCGCTCGAGTTTTGGGTCTTATTTTAAGTCTATTAAACTTATGTTATAGTTATGAAATTTACAACCCAAAATCACAGTTGTTTTGCCTTTGCATGTAACCGATAGAAAACAACAACAACAAGAAGAAACTCCATGATGGTTGGTTTTACGATTTATACTTACCTCCATGTATTGAATATCATTATACAATTTTAAACTAATTTTTATGTGGAGCAGGGTGGAAAATCTATAAAGTCTATTATAACAATCTTATCTATTTATCCATTTAATTTCGCAATAAGCTTCTCGAGGGCCATATGTGCTAGCCTTTCTAATCTCGAAGTGATAGACTAGAAGGAAGAGAGCTACTCAACAGCACCCAACGCCAACTCGTGGGCTACTCTATCCAAATAGTTGGATTGACCGTAATATTATAAAACTTGTAAGGATTGCGAGTCGAGCGCCCTAACCACTAGGCTAAGTCAGATCTGTGTTTCAAAGTGTTGCCTTATTTTGCTGAAATTCCGTACAATATAACACATTACAATGTTGATTTTTGATTAATTTACGAATAACACTTGAAATGTTATCCAAATAAACGTATCCATGATAAAGTTAACAAAATGGCGTTTATCGACTGGATTTAATTTACAAGTTAAAGGAGTTTAGCACCAGCTACAGCGCAGGATCTTCTTTCTCCAGTTATAGAATCCTGTCGCAACACATTTGTCAGGGGCGGTTCAGGTGTCATGGCGTTATCTTCAATTTTGAAACCACTAACAACAAATTGTGTTCCTCAAAATTTAACTTGGAAAGAGTTTTACTTGAAATTCAACTCAAATCGGCAGCTCAGGAAGCTGGTGGACTGACTGTAAATAACTTCTGGCTTTCATCTGAAAACATATAGACTTGGTATGAAGTTGTACATTTCTGTTTATTTGTTTTTGTAATACTTGCGAAAAGTCATACAAGAGTTATCTGCGCATATCCGTCCCTAATTTTAAATTTATATATTACAGAAGAAAGGCAATTAGCCAACAATACCCACTACAAACACTTTGAATTACTTAGTTATACTCTGGGTGGTAATTTTGGTTACGTCCTTTCAACCTCAGCGTGTTTGAGGACAACCAGAGGTGTTCAGAAGCT